CTAACTTACAGATATTTGGTTTTCAGCAGTTTTCCCTCTAATGTCTTTTTGATGTTGCAGAATCCAGTCCAGGATCCCATTTACATTGGGGTATCTATTCCACTGAAGGATTTTAAACAAGAGTGAGGTGTGATCAGAATTACAATATAATTTTGGAATTAACATATTTAGATTTGGGGAACCTGTGGAGGAAAAAATAAATCAAGGCAGGAAGCAGCAGGATCACCTGGCCTGGCCCTGTCATGCACACCATGGAAGGTATGATTTGGCACCTGGAGGGTACACTCGGTCTACCAGAGCAGGTTAATTCCCTTTCTGATGTTCCAAGGTGCTGAGTTAGAAGCATGGCTTAAATAGAACATGATCCACTAGATCACAGTATTCCTTTGTTCTGATGTTTAATTTTGGTGTGAACACAGTGAAGTGAGGTGGAAAGAGGGTGGGAACTGCAGCTTGGATATGTTTAATTTGAAGTGGTTAGAAACTCTGACAACTTTATTAAAGATCTACTTGTTGCATTAGTCTCTTGTTTGTTTTCTTTAATGTGGTTTGAAGCATCTGCTTTGGTAAAGTGCAATTTCTTATTTTTCTCTCCTTTGCAAAATTGTTTGAGTAACACTATATATTATAAATATCATGGTTTACTCTCTCTAGGCATCATTCTCAAAGGTAGCTCCTAACTCATTCCTAAGTGGTGAATTAAGTGCCATGAAGAAAAACAAAACAGGATAAGGAAGGCATATATGCATGTTTATCTGCTTTACATGAGCTCATCAGGGAGGGCCTCACTGAGGTGATTGGGTGTGTGTGTGTGTGTGTGTGTGTGTGTGTGTGTGTGGTATTAGGGATTGAACCCAAGGGAACTCTACCAGTGAACTACAACCCTGATACTTTCTATTTTGAGACAGAGTCTCACTAAACTGACCAGGTTGGGTTCAAACTTGTCACCCTCCTACTACAGTCTCCTCGGTAGACAGAATTATAGATGTGCCACACCCAGCTTGTTCCAGAAACATTCTTCACTGATGCTGCTGGAATTTCTTCTTCTGGAACTGGATATTAAACTCAGGGCCTTTGCACTGAGCTACATTTCTAGACTTTTTTATTTTGAGAAAAGATCTTGAGAAGTCACTAAATTGCCCAGGTTGGGCTCAAACTTGAGATCCTCCTTCCTCAGCCTCCTAGAGTGCTGGAATTACAGGATGGTTTTTAGCTGCAAGTTTAACAGCTACATTTTAAAAGGACTTTATTTCTGTTTCTTACTGCTACATTTTGGATCTATCATGTCTCTCAAAAGGCTTACGTGTCAGAGGCAAGGCTTTTGAAAGGTGATTGGATCATAGGGGCCCTATACTCACCAGTAGATTCATCCTTTGTAAAGTCATAGCTGAATGTGCTGTGAGGAGGTGGGGTCTGACAGAGGAGGAAGGGCAGCTTCCTGTCTGTCTCTCTGGCTCTCCTTTTGTCTCTGCTTCCCAGATCCCATGAACTGAGGATACTGCCGCCTGCAACCGGGCCAAGCCATTTTTGCCTTGGAGCCACTGTCCAAACTGAAACAATGACTCTAAATAAACCTTTACTTCTTTAAATTACATGTGTCAGGGATTCTGTCCCAAGAATGGAAAAGTGACTTCACAAACACTTTATACTTCCTTTCACTGGCATTGTGCTGGAGAGCTACAGTAAAGGTCAGACTTTGTTTCTTTCTTTTTTTTTTTTTTTTTTTTTGTCTTTTTGAAACAGGGTCTCGCTATGCAGTTCAGATTGGCCTTGAGCTCGCTTTGTAGCCCAGGCTGCTCTGGAACTCGCAAGGATCCCCCTGCCTGAGCCTCCGGAGTGCTGGGATTACAGGCATGAGCTACCACGCCCGGCTCAGACTTTCTTTTAGGCCTTCTCTTTTCTTCTATTAGCTTAGTGAATTAGGAGAAGCAAATGAAATTCCTTTTCTCTTGATCTCAGTTCACATCAAACAAAGAGGTCAGTAACTAACCTGCATATCTGACATGGTCATGGAAAGAATCACATGAGATGACACATGGGGGAGAACTTGGCAACTCTGTTCCCATATAAAAAGAGGTCATGGTGCACGCCTGCAATTCCAGCAGTTGGGAGGAGGAATGTGAGGCCAGTCTGTAATGAGTTTCAAACTGGCAGGTCTGCATAGTGAGATCCTGCCCGCCCTAAAAATGCTGGAGGTGAGAATTATCCTTTTCTGCATTAACTCACATTTACTAACTACAGTCTTATAATTTTTTTTTTGTTTTGTCTTTTTGAGACACAGTCTGGCTATGCAGTTTAGGCTGGACTTGAGCTCGCTTTGTAGCCCAGGCTGGTCTCGAACTCACAATGATCCTCCCACCTCAGCCTCCCGAGTGCTGAGATTACAGGCAGGAGCCACCATGCACAGTCTTATAATTTCTAAATAAGGTAAAATCTGTGAAAATGTTTAGAACACTCATTCATCTTTTCACTTATTCTGAATCTATGTATTATAATCTTACTAAGCTCCTGGAGCTGAACTAAAGATTTGAAGACAAGGAAGAAGTAGACCTTGTGCTTAAGAAGAAAGAGATGAGACAATCAGGGGAAGAGAGAAGCAAGTCAATAAAACGAGTAAGTGATTTCTGTTCTGCTATCTCAATGCCTGTAATGGCACAGGAGGGAGAACCCATAACTCCCTACAGTTGGAGGCATAGCCTACATTGGTAAATGAATGTCTTTGAAAGTCACATTTATTTATTTATTTGGTAGTGAGGATTAAGCCTGGGCCCTTGGGCATACTACCCACTCTACAACTAGCAGGGCATGGTGGCCCACACCTGTAATCCCAGCACTATGGAGGCTGAGGGTGGAAGAGTGTAACTGGAAGCCCAACCTGGGAAATTTAGTAAGATCTTGTCTCAAACAAAACAAAACAAAACAAGCTGGCAATATAGTTTGCTAAGAAAGCCCTGTGTTCAATTGCTAGTACCACACACACACACACACACGATCACTCTACCTTACTACTAAGCCAAACAACTTCATCCCTTTTTCAAAACATTTTTATTTTTTATTTTTTTTATCGGTACCTGGGATTGAACTCATGACCGCCTGCTTGCAAGGCAGGTACTTATGCTGCTGAGATAAATCCCCAGCCCCAAAACATTTTTATTTTGAGACAAGGTTTTGCTAAGTTATCCAGACAAAGAGTCTCACAGGCCCTAGGGTTTAAAGCATCTTGTCCACGGGTGAGAAGCAAAATATGAACACAGTTTGGACAGGCCTGACAAAATCCCAGACCTCCACTGTGCATGGAATATAAGGCTTCTAGAAGGACAGTAGTCATGTGGCCCACATAGAACCTACTCATCTGCTCCTCTCTGGGCTCAGCTTGATGTTTAGCAGATAGCTAAAGCTGGTGACATTAACGGATGGGCTTGTTGGTGGCACCAGGTCTTCGTCCGGTAGAAGTGTTGCTGTCTTTCAGTATTGGACCTCCCTGGCGTCTAACCCTAAGGGTTTGGCAGACCAGTCACTTTGCCTCTTTTTCATTTTAATATATACAGTTTTTCTCTCAAAGGCAGCCCAGAGAGTTGTGGTTATGGAGCAGTGAAACACAAGTTTTTACTTACGCTCTGGTTACTTCCAACCATGACCATTCACTCTCAAGCTTCCAGGGTCCTTTTCCCATTCCCCTTCACAAAGACAGTGCCCTTCTAATCCTGCTAATCTGACCCCTGAATCTTTACAGGGGCTGCTCCAATTTTCTTAGTCAAGTTCAATCTTTTCACTTGCAAAACTCCCCTACTTCTGAGCATTCTTACAGTTTCTTTTATTTCCCTCACAACTTTCCCTAGGCCTGTAGTCCAAGAGTTAACTGGCTAAGTTTCTACTTGCCTAGGCTAAGGGCCAGCTCCCTGTCTTTCTTCTGTGTTGAATTACCTCCTGCCAGTCACCAGAAGAAGCGAATCTTGAGAGAGAGAACTTGGACAGAAAGGTACTTGGCTGATGTGAACAAGTTCCAGTGGAAACAAATGACCTCTTGTTCTCCAAAGCTCTTCAGGCACAAGGGGGAAAAATAATTGAGCTCTTCTACCATTTTTGCCCTGTGATACCTATAATACCCCTTGGTCCAAATGCAAATTCTTGGCATTATAGGACACTTATAAAGAGCAGGAGGCAAGGGCAACAGGATTCTTACAGAGATTGCAAACCCGCCTCTAAGACAAGGAAAGCTTTCAGTGTCTTAGAGCAGATCTCATGCTCCCTCCTTCTCTTTTTTAGTCTTTTTCCCTTCCTTTTTCCTTCTCCAGGCCAGCACTGTAAAAAAGAGAAATATGTGAGCCACATGTGTAATTTTAGGCTTTCCAAGCAGCCCCATTTTAAAAAAGGTGACCTTAGTTGTGTTTTGTTTAACTAAAAATATTATCATCCCAGTGTCCACAATATTTGAATGATTTGAAGTTTGCTTGATAACCTGTCTTTGGAACTCGGTGTGTGTTTTCATTTACAGAATACGAAACTCGGACTAGTCCGGTACTTGGACCTCAGGAACCTGGAATTCTCTCCCCTCCGCATCCCCCCAACCCCAGTAGCCAGAGAGAAAAATGTGGGGAGGGCGGCGGTAATAATGCTAATTTGAAACTGAGAAACAACCTCCCAGAGGAGGCAAGATTGCGGGGCAGTGAGAGTGAGATCTCTCAGCCAGCTTCTCTTCTCACTCCGCCCCCGCCCTGGCCCAGCAGCGCTAGCAGTGGGGCAAAGCGCAAAGCTCTGCCACAATCGCGGGAAAGTACAGAGCAAGGCACTGGGGGCCGGGGGGGGGGGGGGGGCGGGCGGGGGGATGGGTACTAGGCGTAAAGTGCGAGCGGGATCCATACGCATGCGCACTCCCCTCCTCCCCCGGCACCCTGGCAACCGGGTTCCAAGCCAATGTCTTTTTGCCCACCCGGACTTCTCGTGCCACCAACCAGTCTCCGCTCTTCCCTGTGTGTGATTCTTCCTAGTCACTTCCGCTCCCCCTTCCACCGGTTCTGATCTCACTCGGGATGCTTGTGCCCCAGCATCTGAGCCAGTTCCTAAAACGGGTCCTCGTGGTTTCCGCCAGAGGATGGTTCTCTGGCGCCTCTGCTCCCCCACCCTCCTCTTTGGGCTGAAGTGGCTGCTGAGCCTCGGAGTGCTCTTGGAGGCCTCACAAGTGCCAGCGGCGCGGCTTTCTACTTCCCCGGCTAGGCCCCAGTCAGTTTCGGCGAGGTGGCCTGAGAGACCGCATCCTGTCAGGTGAGGACCGCGGGGCACTGAGAGGTGAGGCAAAGCTGCGGATTGTGGCCTGGGGCGGACCAGGCAGTCCAGAGTTCGGAGCTCAGGGCCTCTCACTTGGAATGCCAGCGCCCCTCTGTGGGTGTGCCTGTCTTAATCTCCGATCTCCCTCCCCCTTTGCAGATCTGGGCCTCATTTTCCCTGATCCTCTTTTCCTCCCTCTCAACACCTTCTCCGCCTTCAGTTCCTCGCCTTCACACCTCCTGCCTCTTCCTTCTCAGCTCTCTCTGCCCCCGTCTTCCTCCTCCTTCCCTACCCGCTCCACCCTTTAGGCTCCGCCCCTCTGGCCCCGCCCCTTCTTTTATTTTGGCTCTCTCCCCTCCCTGGCTTCTTACCCCCAAGCTCTCCTTAAGGCCACGCCCCAGTCCCCGCCCCTTAGCCTTGGCCCCTCCCTTCCCCCCCGCCTGCTCCTGCTGCTCCACCTCCTTCTCACTTCCTTTTCTCTTTTTGTTCCTTTTCTTGTCACTTTTGTTTTGGGGATCATCTTATCTTCCATCTCGCATCCTTCACCCTCCTCTTCCTCTGGATTCTTTCCTCACCCCTTCTCCCTTTCCGCTCCTCTTTCTCTCCTCCCTATTGCTCGCCCCTTCGCCGCCTCTTAGTTCCTCCCACCCTCACTAATTCTCCTCCCCTACCCCTTCCCCAGCCTATCAGCACCCGCGCACTCCTCCTCCTGCACGTCCCCCCTCCCGTCCCAGTCCATACCCCCCTTTCTGCTCGCGCGCACTTGTTTCGTGGTCTTTCTCTACCGCATCCCTGCCATGTTTCCGTCATCTCTCACGCCTATGGTCTCACACTTTTATTCCCTTAATTTTTATTTAATCTCTTTGGTCTCCTGGATCCTCCCTCTGCAAACACCGAGATAATGCTGTTTACCCCTAGAGACTTGTGAAAATGAGATAGTGCCTGAAGATGACTTAAAACGACACTCGTCATATAGTAAGCTTTCATTTAATAGAATTTAACGGTTACTAGTTTTTTTTTTTTTTTTTTTTTTTTTTTTTGTCTTTTTCGTTTTTATCGGTACCAGGGATCGAACTCCCGGCTGCCTGCTTACAAGGCAGGCGAGGCGCTTATGCCGCTGAGCTAAATCCCCAGCCCTGGTTACTAGTTTTCTTTAGCCAATGATTTCTGGCAATTCCCCAACGCTCAGTAATTTCTTGACTCCCTTGGTAATTTCGTTTTATTCATTGTAAGCTGACTACAAAAGATATTTTGGGTGCTGGAGGTGTAGGTCAGTGAGAGAACACCTACCCAGCATGCACAGGGTCCCAAGTTCAGTCCTCAGCACTAAAAAATTGTTTTGGGGAAGTGATTATTCTACTCAAAAGGAATTACAGAGTAAGGTTTATTTTCTGAGTCCTACTTGCCTAATTTAATATATGGGGTAGGGTTTTGGAAGGAAATATCACAAACACTGTGAGGTTGACGACAGCTGGATGGGTTGACTGCAGCGTTAGCCAACTTGAAGGTTCCAGTTTAACAGCATCTCGCTGTGTAGTCCACGCTGGCCTCAAACTCTTGGCGATCCTCCTGCCTCATCTTCCTGAGTGCTTGGATTACAGATAGGACCTATCATGCCCGGCTGCCAGGGTTTTTTAAAGACCAGTTCTAGGCGCAGCCCACTTGATCTTTTTTTTTTTTTTTTTGAGGCAGGGATTCACTATATGGTTCAGCCTTCCATGTGCTGGGATTACAGGAGTGCACCACCACGCCTGGGGGAAACATGAATTTTAACCATAATTACCATATGGATTTTTTTACACAGTACTTATCATATTCAACACTCCACATTTCCTTGATTAGGTAGTATCTCTCTCTTTTTAAAACTTTTTACTATTACAAAAGTAGTAACATACATGGTAGAAGTTTAAAAACTGTGGCTAGAAGCCAGGCTACCCTGGGCTACATGGTGAGACCCTCGTCTCGAAAAATGATAGCAACAAGAATGGTGGATAGGCAAAAGTAAGAACAATATTTCTAGCATTTAGAAAATTACTATTCCTGGGTGGGGAAAATAGCTCAGCGGCACAAACAAGTGCCTGGCAAGTGCAAGGTCCTGAGTTTGATTCCCGATACAAGAAAAAAAAATCACTACTCCTGATGTCTTACTGTATATTATAGATTTTAAAATGTGTGATCATGCACACATGCATTTTTAGTAGACTAAAGGAGCTTTCTAAAGGAGTTTTAGGTTCACAGTAAAAGTGAGCAGCAAGTATAGGGAGTTCCCACTTCCCCACTGCCTCTCCCAGTTTGATCTGCTGTTGACATCATCCCTGCCCTCACCAGAGTAGTGCATTCATTACAGTCCTTGAGCATACATTGAATGGTCATTTCTCTCAGAAGTCTGCAGTTTACGTGAGTGTTTATTCGTGGTGTTCCATATTCTATGGATTTGTATAATGACCTGTGGCTACTGTTACAGTACATAGGGTAGTTTCACCATACCAAGAGCTTCTATGCCTCTCCTGTTCAGCCCCCCTCTCTTCTCTAACCCCTGACACTGCTGATCTTTTTCATTGGCTTCATGTTTTCACCTTTTCCAGGGATGTCATGTAGTAGGATCGTACGGAATGTAGCTTTTTCAGATTGGCTTCTTCACTTAGTAATGAACACTGGGGCTTTAGCTCAGTGATATGAGTGCCTGCTTGGCAAGCATGAGATGGCAAGTTTGATTCCCAGTACAAAAACAACAAAACAGTCCACATTAATAATGTGCATTTAAGCTTTTTTGTGTCTTTGTTTTTTGGTGCTAAGGATCAAATCCAGGACCTTACCTGTGCTAGCTAGGCTTATGCTCTACTGCTAAACTTTACAGTGCCCAGCTCTTTCTATGGGTTTTCTTTTGCTTCTTTTTTATTTTATTGTCTTTTTGAGACACGGTTTCACTATGCAGTTCAGGGTGGCCTTGAACTTGGAGCGATTTTCCTGCCTCAGCCTCCCAAGTACTGGGCTTTTCCATGGTTCTTCATGGCTTAATATATCCATTTCTTTTTTTTAAAGTTATTTCTTTTTGGCACTGAATAATCGTCTGTTGTCTGGATGGATAAGTTGATTCATTCACTCACTGAAAAGCATCTTGATTACTTCCAAATATTGGCAGTTATGAATAAAGTTTCTGTGAACATTCATGTGCAAGTGTTTGTGTGGATGTGAGTTCTCAGCTTATTTGAGTAAATACTAAGGAGCACAATTGCTGGATTGTTTGATGAGAGTATGTTTAGTTTTGTAAGTAACTGCCAAAATGTCTTCCATAATAACTATATCATTTTGAGTACCACCAGCAAAAAATGTCTATACACAACTTTTTACCAAAATAAAATCATGGTATACATGTGATATTGCCCCTTGCAATTTTCTCTCTTTAATTCCATCTCATTAAATCAGTATGTTCTTGACTCATCTATTATATAGCTCATAGTTAGATTACCAAGCCATGTCTTAAAATATCCAAACCAGAATTCAATCTAGCACCACAAATTGCATGTGGTTGTTATGATCTTATGGCTCTTATAATCAAGCAGAGTCCCTTTTTCCATTTTTCTCTTCATGACACTGACTGATAAAGAGTACTATCTCTTATTTACCTGCTTAGCTTATTTACATTCCTTTGATCTTACCAAACAGTGCTGCAGAAGAGATTATAACTTTATTTAATTTGTAAAAACATTTAAAAAATCCAATTCTGTGTATTATGTATATATGAAATATAAAAGTTTGAGTAGTTAAATATATGATAAAGCAGCCTTATGTTATCAGTCCTGTATCTAAATGATTTGCCTTAGAAAAAACTAGACATACAATTACAAGATCTCTTGGAAACAACCCAAAAGCCTATCAACTGTAAATAATAAAGATGTGTTTTTTTATCCAATAGAATACTACTTTGCCATAAAGAAGGAATAAGCTTGAGATATTCCTAGGTAAATGGATGCACCTTGAGACTATCCCCCCGCTCCTTTCTCTGTACTGAAAATCAAACTCAGGACATTGCACTTGCCAGGCAGGTACTTATGCTACTGAGCTGTATCCCTGGCTTGAGACAATACTTTGAAGTGAAATAAATCAGACACATATGTGTAAATACTGCACTGTCTCTCTGGTGTGAACAATGAAAAGGATAAAAAAGAACCAAAATATATACTTGGTATTGTGAAACAGGAAGAAAATGTTCAAATGGGGAGGGGAAAAGTAGAGGGGGGAGGGGAAAGGAAAGAAGAGAAAGGTAAAACAAAAGTGAGAAAAAAAGGAAAAAATGAAAACAAAACTTTTCTAAATGGTGTAGAGAGGAGGGGTTGAAGGGAGGCTAGGGGAATGGGAAAAACAGAACCAAGTTATATCATGTACAGTACAAATTCTCTATGAGGAATGTGATCCTTATGTATATCTAAAATATACCAATAAAATCTGATTGAAGAAAAAAAATTACTAGATCAAAGAATACATGCTATTTTGATACAGCTATTTTCTTTCTTTTTTTTGAGATAGACTCTCACTGTGTAGTTCAGGCTGACCTTGAACTCACTCTGCACTCCAGGCTGGCTGCAAACTTGTGGTGATTCTCCTGCCTCAAACTTCCAAGTGCTGGAAACACACGCATGTACCTCTATGCCCAGGTATTGCTAAATTTCTAAATTATGTGTCCTAATGTACACTCTTCATCAACAGCATGTATATGTGAGAATATCTGTTTCTTCATGGCTCAAAAACAAAATATTATGGTATTTTTACATCTTTGGTGATCTGATAGTTGAAAGATTGTTGTACTTTCAATTTCCTTTGCTTTATTAAAAGTAAGATTGAAAATATTTTCATATAATTAAAAACCATTGTATTTTATTTTCTGCAAACCACCTACATATCATTTGGACATTTTTGTAAAACAATGTGCCATTTAAAAAATGTTTAATTTTTAAAAGTACATATTTGCAATATGTAGTGATTACATTCATTGTAGGGAATTGGTACTTGTACATAATACAACTCAGTTCTTTTTTTCCACTTCCCCTACACCCTTTTATTTGGCAAGCATCAGATTCATTTGTTTATCTTATAAAATAAGTCCTTATAAAGTTAGTTATTTTATATACAGATTAACAGGCAAAAAATACAAAACATTTAAGAGTGACACTAAAACAGTATACTTTTGGGTGTGTTGTCCATGATGGGTTATGATTAACTTTTTTTTTCTCTCTTTTCTCCTGTTATCTGTCTATTTTGCTCTTTTTAAAAATATACTGAGTTTTTCATGTAAGAAGAATCATGTGATATTTAAACTTATGTGTCTGAGTTGTTTCACTTAACAGTAAATCTCTAGGTGCATCCATTTTCCTACAAATGTCTTAAAGTTTATCCTTTATGGCATTTGCCTTTTTTTAAGTCCATTTTAAATTTTTCCCATTTTTGTAGTAGATTGAACATTTGAAAACTTGAGTTGTAAGGATTTTTTTTTCCGTACTGAGATTTGAACCCTGGGCCTTCACACTGAGCTACAGCCTTATTTATTTATTTTTTGGTCTTTTTTGAGATGAGGTCTCGCTATGCAGTTCAGGCTGGCCTTGAGCTCACTTTGTAGCCCAGGCTGGTCTCGAACTTGCAAGGATCCTCCTGCCTCAGCCTCCCAAGTGTTGGGATTACAGGCGTGAGCCACCACGCTCAGCTTATTTATTTATTTATTATTTTGAGATCAGGTCTCACTAAATTGCTAAGTTGCTCAGGCCAAGCTCAAACTTGCTATGAGCCTCCCAGAATTTTGGGAATATAGGTTTACTCCACCATGTTTGACTTTGTGAGAACGCCCATCCCCTCACATCCCCACCCCCGCCCTCTCATACAGGTTCTCACTATGTAGTACAGGCTGGCCTTGAACTCACTGTGTAGCCCAGGCTGGTGTTAAATATCATGATCTTTCTGCCTCAGTGCTGGGATTTTCAGCTTTCCCAGTGCTGGGATTACAGGCTATGCACTACCATACCTGACTATGAGAACACTTAAATCAGGAAATTGGTTCTTTGTATGTAACATGTGGCAAATGTTTCTTCTGTGTTTGATAATTTTCTTTTGGTTTTATTTTTGCCATTATAAAATTTGATTTTTACTCTGATTTATAATGGATTTTTATGGCTTCTAGCTTTGTGGCTGAATTTGAAATATCCTTCCTATGACAATCAATGTTTTAAATAATTCCTCCCTGGTTTTTAAAAGGTGTTATGGTTTAAATCCATTTTTTTTTTTGAGACAGGAACTTGCTATGTAGTTCAGGCTGGCCTTCAACTCACTATATAATCCAGCCTATGGAGATCCTCCTGCCTCAGCCTCTCCAGTGTTGCATTATAGGTATGTGCCATCATGCCATAGCTTTTGCGTTTAAGTAAGATCAACATTTCCCTATATAATATACAAGGTGAGGCTCCAACTTAGCTTTTCACAGATCACTGACCAATTATCATAACAGTATGTATTGAATAATATTTTTCTGTACTTGATTTGAGAAATCATCAAGGTTATTTTAAATATAGTAAGATCTCAATTCATCTTTTAAAGTAAAGTTCAAATCTTAGGTAGGTTTCCAGTAGTACTTTGTCAATTTTAGTATTTTACACGAGAATTTCTATTCCTTACTCTCCTCTACTGTCCTCTCTATCCCTTCCCTTCCCTTCCTTCCCTTCCCTTCCCTTCCCTTCCCTTCCCTTCCCTTCCCTTCCCTTCCCTTCCCTTCCCTCCCCTCCCCTCCCCTCCCCTCCCCTCCCCTCCCCTCCCCTTCCCTTCCCTTCTCTTCCCTTCCCTTCCCTTCCTTTCCCATTTCTTTCTTTCTTCCTTCATAAATAGGGATTGAATTACCTATTATGCAAGCATTTTACCACTGAGCTATATCCCCTAACGTTTTACATTTTATTTTGAAACAGTCTTGCTAAGTTTCCCAGACTGGCCTTGAACCTATGATCTTCCTGCCTCAGCCTCCTGAGCAGCTTTACATGTGTGTGCACCATGCCTGGCTTTCTTAATTATTTTGTTTCTTATTAGAACTTTGATCATTCATATGCCTATAACTGCTTTATGCTCCAGTTGCAAATTTCAGATTCAACTGTACTAGATGTGGATAAATTTTTCTTTTTTTTTTTTTTTTTCTCTTTTTGAGACAGGTTTTCGCTCTGCAGTTCAGGCTGGCCTCGAGCTCACTCTGTAGCCTAGGCTGGTCTCGAACTCGCAACGATCCTCCTGCCTCAGCCTCCTGAGTGCTGGGATTACAGGTGTGAACCACCACGCCCAGCTTTTTAATTTTTTCTTTTTAAGAAGCTGTAGTAAGACTATATTTTTATTCCTGAACTCATAATTTTCTGCATCTCTTTAAAAAAAATCTAACATATGGTAAAGCTGATAGCAGATTTTTTTTCAAAGCAGTGTGTAGAATTTTGAGAAAGGACCCAGATTCTTCTGTGTTAGTCCTTGAAAATTTCCAGTCCAGTAAATTATCAAGAGTAGGGGCTGGGGATTTAGCTCAGTGGCATAAGTACCTGCCTTGCAAGCAGGCGGTTGTGAGTTCGATCCCCAGTACCAGAAAAAAGAAAAAAGAAAAAAAAAAAAGGAAAAAAAATTATCGAGAGTATAGCTGAGATCAACAGAAGTAGACAAAAATGTCTCATGGAGAGCCCGATAGATGTCCTGATGTTCATTCCCTAAATCCCTTGCTCTCAGATACTCTTTCAAACAATGTTGTAGCCAATCTGTTAATGCCACAATGAAAGGTCTGCTCCCAGACAGAATGAAAGGACAAAGGAGAAGGGGGAGGTGGCACAAGAACAGCTGATGCCCAAAATGAAGGAGACATAATAGCATCACAAATGTTAGGTTCTGAGTGGGGTGTGAGGGATGCGGGCAGTAACAAATACGGATTGTCATCCATCCTCACCTAGTTTTGGATAAATAGCTCCCGTCATCTATTTGTTTCTGAGAATGTCACTGAGTCCAAGCAGGTACAATGATTGATGTGCAAAATCAAGGAAATTTACATTGTGATCTTTATGCTGTTAAATATCGGAAAGACTAAAGCATATTTTAGATAGCTTTAGTTATTTCAAGTCCTTAACCTGAGTTTTGGACACTCCAGGACTCTATGAATTTTTTGTTGTTGTGGTTGTTGTTTGTTTTTGTTTTTTGAGACAGGGACTCACTATGAAATTTGGGCTGGTCTTGAACTCACTATGTAGCCCAGGCCGGCCTTGTTTTACAGTCTTGCTGGCTCAGCATCCTGAGTGCTAGGATTAGAGGTGTGTGTCACCATGCCCAGCAATGTGAAATCTTAGAGCTGAAAAGAGAATTTGATGAGTATGTGCGTTTTTCTGGGGAGAGGGGACCCAATTTGTCATATTCTGAAAGGGTTCTAGGATTTCAAACAAGTTAAGAATGTCCGAGGTGGGGGCTGGGGATTTAGCTCAGCAGCATAAGCACCTGCCTTGCAAGCAGGCAGTCGTGAGCTCGATCCCCGGTACCGATAAAAATGAAAAAGACCGGGAAAAAAAAAAAAAAAAAGAATGGACGAGGTATCTGCAACATTTATACATCCAGAGAATCAAAGATATTAGGCAAGTGAAATGTTATGAATTTATAGCTATGCTGTGTAAATATTTATAACTATACCCAATTATAAATTTATAAGAGTTGTAAATTTATAACTACAGTTATAAATTGATGGTACCAACAGGCCCAATTACCTTTCAGTTCCTTCATTTCATGTTTTGCAAGTGTTACCTCGTTTTTCTTTATGTTTTAATAAATTTTTTCCTTATTTTAGTCAACATTTTGTAAATAAATTGTGCTCAGTGTAACCTGTACTACTCTATGCATATGACAGGTAAGTGTTTAAAGACAATGAGTAAAAGCCCTGAATATAGTAAGAAATGTAATTTTGTAATAAAGGTAACAGGAAAAAATTAAAATAGAGAGCTTTCAAAGCTAGACCAGTGCTTACAAAAATTAGAATGTTGTTGTACTTTATTTGTTTTTCTTGTTATTTACTTATTTATTTATTTCTTTGAGATAAGGTCTCACTGTGTACTCCAGGCTGGCCTCGGACTCTTGGCAATCCTGCCTCAGCCTCCTGAGCCCTGGGATTATAGGTGTGTACCACCACATCCAGCCTTTGATTTTTATTTCAAAGAAAGGTAAATAATGAATGTACTACGCTTTGGACTTTCGAAAAATGTCTTGACATATTTATGTAGTTTATTTTTTCAACATGAAATAGATTTATACAAAAATTTTAATGTTTGAAAGCGCTTTGTTTAGTATGAGCTGTTATATGATTATGATCAATCATTTGACAATAATAAATTATATATTTTTTACAAAAAGATGATTGTTTTCCCTTGGGTGTTAATTTCTTCTAATAAAGCAAGGATAAAATTCTTTTTTTGCCTGTAATCCTAGCATTCTGGAGGCTGAGGCAGGAGGATCACTGTGAGTTTGAGGCCAGCCTAGGTTACACAGAGAGACCCTGTCTCAAAAAAAGAAAAGTTTCTACCCCTTTTTATTTTTATTTGATACAAGTTCTTACTAAGTCACTAAGTTGCCCAGGCAGAGCTTAAACTTTTGATCCTTTTGCCTCAGCCTCCCAAAGTTCTAGGGTTACAGACACTGACTGTCATGCCTTGCTCAAATCTGATTTTGTTATATAAATACAGGGTGTAGTATGAATCTTTACTATTCATTTATATTGTTTTCCACTTATGTGATTTTTTTTTGTCTTTTGAAACAGGGTCTCTATGCAGTTCAGGCTGGCCTTGAACTCACTTTGTAGCCCAGGCTGGTCTCGAACTTGCAACGATCCTCCTGCCTCAGCCTCCAAGTGCTGCGATTACAGGCGTGAGCCACCACACCCGATCACTTATGTGATTTTTATATGCAAATTTACTGACAGGTAGTTGTCATTCTTTTCAACTAGCAACTCTTTGATTTGTAACTGTGAGAATATAGTATTTTTGGAGGATTTTGTTGTTTTAAGGTTTCCTTTGGTAAGAACTGACAAGTACAGCTTCTAAATGGCTCAGGTTAGAATTAGTACAAGCTTTATTCTGTCATTTGCTCTTTTTATGTAATTTTAAGTTTAACTGTGAAAATATTTAGTTTTTTTAAAGATTGTGATTATTTATTTCAAAAAAAGTCAAAAACAGTAGCATGAAATAAATTCAGAGGTTAAACCATCTAGAAAAAAATATATAATGAGGTCCATAAATCATAATTAAGCATATTCTAAGTAGCATTTTCAGAAGCAATACAATATCATTAACAGTGGAGAAGCCAGATGAATTACAATGATCAATTTTTTTTTTGTCTTTTTCTTTTTTATCGGTACCGGGGATCAAACTTGCGACTGCCTGCTTGCAAGGCAGGTGCTTATGCCGCTGAGCTAAATCCCCAGCCCCACAATGATCAGTTTTTTTGGTCTTTTTGAGAAAAGGTCTCACTATGCAGTCCAGGCTGCCTTGAGCTCACTTTGTAGCCCAAGCTGTTCCTGAACTTGCAAAAATCCTCCTGCCTCAGTGTCCTGAGTGCTAGGAACAATGATCAATTAAAAATTTTTTTGGTATCAGGAATCGAACTCAGGACCTTGTGTGTGCCAGGTAGGTGCTTGTGCCACTGAGCTTTATCCTGGGTCCACACCAATATATTGCTTTGCTGATATTTTTATCTTACTTGAACCACTTCTCTTTTAGTTTTGACTTCCATCAATCAAGATGTCAGAAAGCAAAGACCTTCTGAAAATCTTGGGCAAATACTATCTGGAGAATGGATAATATCATCTCCTTATAAGGTTATTCAGTCGATCTTATTATTACTGGATCTTATTTCCAAATGGATCTTCTCAAAACTGACTATAGTACTTAGAATTATAGCAGAGTCTTTGTTTTAATGGGAAAGAAAAATAAAAGATAGACTCTTGTGTTACTAGCAGAATGCATTAAAATATGCTATCTCAGATTTTATTTCAAGTTTTAGTTTTGCTTTATCAGTTTGTTGCATTTATTGCTCTGTATATATTTCTATGGGATGATATAAGATATAATTGGATCTTTAGAGTATTAGAGTATCTATTGATTTTGTCTTCAATATCATAATAGATACGAGGATAAAGATGTTTCCATAAGCAGTTATGGTGATGAAGCATTAACCTTTATTCTTTTTTTCTAACTTTATTGAAGTCTGATTGAGGTACTATAAGCTCCACCTATTTAAAGTATATAATTTATTATACACACACAAATATATAATATTTGAGAGAGAGAGAGAGAGAGAGAGAGAGAGAGAGAGAGAGAGAGAGAGTCCTCCAAAAATGCATGCATACTTCAGGAAAAGAAAAATAGTATGTTTTTTCAACAGATGGTGTGAGTGTGACCTTTGTGGTGTAGGGAACTCTACAGGATGTTGAATACTGCAGAAAACCGACCATACTGCTGGCCCTTAGAGAAGAACTTGAAAATGCATGTGCAGTAATCTCAGTGACCAAGGTTACCTGAGCAGCAGTTCGTCATGCTGGTAAATGTCTGGAGACTCATGGCCATCACTTTGAGCATGTCTTGGAAGTGCAGAAACCAAGGTAACTTGTATTAATTTCATAATGTTGTAATAAATTTAGTCTTAAAATATTTATATATGTTTTTTTCCTGAAATGTATATACATTTTTTGCTGGATGTTATATCTATGGAATTATGAAACCATAAGGTGTTAGCTTTTTGTTTGTTTGTTTTTGTTTTTTGAGACAGGATATTGCTGGGTAGTGCAGGCTGGCCTTGAGGAACTCACTTGCAGGCTGGCCTCCAACCTGAGACAGTCCTCCTGCTTCAGCCTCAGAAGAGCTAGGAATAAGAAAGAAAGGGAAGAAAAGTGCTCTAAAGGATATAACGGTATGTATAGAACGTAAGATAAATGACCATATTACTAAATTTCTGTTAGATCATCGAAAAAGAGGGTTTGCACTGTCAGTGTTTCAGTGTTCAGTGACTTTTTATGCTTTGTTTTTGTAACTTTAACATCTATTTTTAAGACAACAATATGTAATGTATTAACTAGTGATTTTATGATGTTAATTTTTTTGAATTCCTGCAGGCTTGCACCACCATATCTGGTTAAGGCATTAGCTTTTTAGTTTTTTCTTTTTTATAAAATTTTATTCTTAAGTGTACGACAGACTCCAAGAATACACTTCATTGAAGTTATAGGTGTCAAAAGATGTTATGGCAGGGAGTTTAGATAACGGAATAAGAATGGAATCCTGGGTCAGCAGTGTCTTAGGCACAGGGAACGGTTTATTTTTTGCAGGTTTCTTAATTCCACTTGTGGCCAGCGAGTCCTTTCCTGCGGCCTTCGTTTTCAGCTCTTCAAGTTTCTTCTGCTCCCCTTTTTGCTTCTGTCTCCATGCTCTGTCTTCCTAGTCCATCTTCTTGGCCTGTTTCTTGGGCTGCTTTAGGGGCTTCTTTTTGCCACCTTTGTGGCCTGACATGGAGCCCGCACACCCTCCAGAATCGGGTTTAAAAAGCCAGTAATGAGCCATTAGCTTTTTTTTTTTTTTTTTAATCGGTACCGGGGATCGAACTCATGACCACCTGCTTGCAAGGCAGGTACTTATGCCGCTGAGTTAAATCCCCAGCCTTGCCATTAGCTTTTTAATAAATGATTTATTTTGAAATAATTATAAGTTGTCAGGAAGTTGCAAAAACGCCCACCTAAAATGAACAAGAAGGTTCCACATGCCTTTTAGAAGGGTTTGCTCTCTGATGACATCTTGCATAACTATAGTAGTACAGGATCAAAACTAGAAATTGATGCTGGTTCAGTTCATAAAAATTATTGGTGTTTCCCCAATTTTTTATGCACACTTTGTGTGTGTGTGTGTGTGTGTGTGTGTGTGTGTGTGTTGTGGGGGGAGATGGAGAGGTGCTTTGCAGCTCTGTTGTGTGCAGGTCTGTGCAACCATCTCCTCGATCAAGACCATCAAGACACAGAACAGTTCCTTTACCATGAGGCTTACTTGTGCTTCCTTTCTAGAGCTGTCTGCACTTTGCTCCCATATCCTCTCCCCCTGGCTAACACTTTTTCCTTTCTTACAGTGTTGTTGTCTTGAGAATTGTTCTATAAGTGAAACTATAGTTTTGAGATTGACATTTCTTCCCAAAAAGAATTCGTTGGCATCCTTCCCAAAAATCAGTTTATTCTTCCTGACTGTCTTAGTAGAATTCCATAGTATGGATGAACCTGTTCATTTAACTTTAACCCTACTGAGGAGCATTTGGAACTTTTATTTTCTTTCTTTATTTTTTATTTTTGTCTTTTTGAGACAGGGTTTCACTGTGCAGTTCAGGCTGGCCTTGAACTTTGTAGCCCAGGGCTGACCTTGAAGTCATAGTGATCCTCCTGCCTCTAGTGCTAGGATTACAGGATGCGCCACCAAGCCTGGATGTAATTTTTAAAACTTTTGGCTATTATATGTAAAAGTGCTACCAACATTTATGTGTAAGGTTTTTTTATTTTTATTTTTGGTACTGGGGATTGAACTCATGACCATGCACTTACAAGGCAGGTGCTTATGCTGCTGGGGCTATCCCCAGCCCCAGGTTTTTTAAAAAATGTGTGTGTTGTTTGGTTTTCCTTTTCCTGTAGTAAATATCCAGGTGAGCAATGTGTAGGTTCCATGACAATTTCATGTTTAGTTTTGTAAGTTGTCAAACTGTTTTTAAGAGCAACTGTGTAATTTTATCTTATTTTGTTTTTATTCTGAGACAGGGTTTCATTATGTGGTTCAGGCTGGTCTTGAACCCACTATGTAGAACAAGATGACCTCCAACTGGCAGCAGTGCTCCTGCCTCATCCTCCCCAGTGCTGGAATTACAGGCATGCACCAGCACACCCAGATGTGTCATTTTACAGGTCTACCTGCAGTGGGGTGTGAGTGATCTAGTTTCTCTGCATCCTTGTCGGCATTTAGCATTGTCATTATTTTCTGTAAGCGATTCTGATATATGTGTGGCGGTATCATATTGAATGTCTTTTCATGTGCCTATTTGATATTCACATATCCTCTTCAGTGAAATGTTTCACCTATATTCTAGATACAAGACTGTTGCCGAAACAGTGGTTTAAACGTATTTTCTCCCAGGCTGCGGGAAGTATTTTTATACATTTAACAGGGTCCTCACAAAACAAAAATTTGAATTTTTTTTTTTTTTTTTACCGGTACCAGGGATCGAACTCAAGACTGCCTGCTTGCAAGGCAGGTGCTTATGCCATTGAGCTAAATCTCCAGCCCCCAAAATTTGAATTTTTGATGAGATCATGTTATTAAGTTTTCATTTTGTGTATTACATCTTTGGTGTCAAATCCAAGAAGATTTTAGTCTTAGGTCCTGGGAGTTTTCTTCTATGGTATCTTTCTTTTTTTTTTTTTTTTTTTTTTGTCTTTTTCCTTTTTACAGGTACCGGGGATCAAACTCATGACTGCCTGCTTGCAAGGCAGGCACTTATGCCACTGAGCTAAATCCCCAGCCCCTCTATGGTTTCTTTTAAAACTGTTTTAATTTTTCTTTATACATTTAAAACTCATCTTTTTTTGAGTGTTTTTTTTGGTATAAGTTGTGAAGTTTAGGTTAAATTTAATTTTTGTTTTTTCCTATGGATGTCTAATCGCTTCTGGACCATTTGTTGAAAGGACTTCTCTTCTTCTGTTGAATTGTATTTGGACCTTTGTACAAAAATTACTCAGGCATTGTTGCATAGGTCTCTTTCTAAGTTGTATATTGGTTTCTTACATAGATTTGTGTCAAACATTACCTTTTGATGATTAAAATTGCACATAAAACCCTTGTGCAGTGCTATTGTTCTAACAGAAAAGTTGACGTTATTCAGAAATGTTGCTCCTTGGACTAAAGAAACTAAGCAATGTTGTTCAACTTAGCTGTCACTAAGCAGGTTTTTCATTAATATTTGTAACTTTAGGACCTGCAGTGGTAACTATGACACTTTTCATTTGCTTAGTCTTGTTCAGTTTTTTTCTTATTAATAGCACTGGCATTTTTCCTTGATGATTGTCCATAGCTAGCTCTTTTAAACAAGAGCTTTTACATTAAAGCATACATACTCTGTTATCTATTTTTGATAACAGATATATTGAGAGATAAATCATATATCATATCAAAAATTCACCAACTTGAAATATGTAATTCAATATAGTCTTAGAGTTGTGTAACCATCACTATAATCCATTTTATTATCACTTTTTAAAAATTTTATTTTAAAGAGAAAAAAATTTCAAAACACGATACTTAGGGGATAACAATGGTGTATACACTGTATACTGTTATCTTCAAATCACTCAGAGTTCAAGACATCTGCAGCTAATCGTTTTGCTAGTTAATACTAGCAAAAACTTTTCTCTTCAATGAGACCAGAGAAATCAGTAGTATAACTATCTTAACTATATTATATATATATATATATATATATATATATATATGTATGTATTTTCAGCTTTTCACACTAGTGAGACAACACAATGTTTATACATGTGTGTCTGATTTATTTCACTAAGGAGTGTGGCCTCAAGTTGCATCTATTTACCTATAAAAGTCTCAAGTGTATCCTTCTTAATGCCTGAGTAAAAATACCACATCCATTTTTTTTAAAAAGCCAGTCAAATTTAGCAGTGGGGGGGTGGTATACAAACTTTAGTGACACTAATGTTAATAAGTTTTGATAACCCACTGCCATTGGACCAGCTACCGCATCCATTTTTTTTTATCCACTTCTCACTCAATGGGCATTTAGGTTGTTCCTAAGATCTAGCTATTATAAATTGTACTCCTATAAACATGGGGGCACATGTATCATTGTGGTATGATGTTCTTAACTCTTTTAGGAAGATATCCAGAAAGGGAACAGTTGGGTTAAATGAGACCTCTAATCCTAGTTTTTTGCAGAATATCCATAGTGATTTCCACAGTGGTTGTACCAATCTACACCCCCATGAACAGTGTAAACGAGTTCCTTTTTCCCCACATCCCCTCCAGAATTTGTTATTGGTTGATTTCTTGATAATAGCCATTCTTTTGGGGATTAGGTAGAATCTCAGTGTTGTTTTAAATTGCATCTCTTGAATGGCCAGTGATGTTGAGCATTTTTTTCACATATTTATTTACTCTTTGTATTTCTTCATTTGAGAAGTGTGTATTCATCTCAGATGCCCATTTTTTTGGGTTGGGTCTTTAAATCTGGGAGGACAGATTTTTTGAGTGTTTTTCTGTTTTCAATAGTAATCCTTTGAGAAACAGCTGACAAACATTTTGTCCCATATTGTGGATTGTCTCTTTACTCTGTTGGTGATTTTTCTTGTGCAAAACTTTTCAATAGGATGAGATATCAATTGTTGATTCTGTGTGATAGTTCCCTGCAATCGGGGTTTTGTTCATAAAGTCTTAGCCTACACCAGTATCTTCAAGAGTTTTGCCTACTCTTATCTTCTAGCAGATTTATCGTTTCTGTTTCAATATTAAGATACTTGATTCATTCCAATTTTAGCTTAGAATGTGCTGAAAGATATGGGTCCAGTTTTAACCTTTAGCATGCATAGAACTGGTTTTTCCAGCACTGTTATTAAAGAAGCTATCTTTCTTCCAGTGAATGTGTTTAGTACCTTGTCAAAGATAAGGAGGCTGAGTGTGTCTGTAGTTTTTTCTGCATCTTTGAATCTGTTCCATTGATCTTCAGGTCTGTTTTTTATTTGCAGTAGTATGCTGTTTTTATCATAGTAGCTTTATAGTATAATTTCAAGTCAGTGATATGGTGAATGTTGTTTTGCCTTTGTTTCCAAGAATTGCCTTTGCTATTGTAGGTCTTTGCTGGTTCCAAATGAATTTTAGTATTGTTTTCCCTAATTCTGTGAGATATATTGTTGAAATTTAGATTGGGATTGCATTGAATCTGTATAACAGTTTTGGAAGTATGACCATTTTCACTATATTGGTTTTTCCTACCCAAGAGCATGGGATATGTCTCCATTTTCCTCTTCAGTTTCCTTTTTCAGAGTATTATAGTTATCAATGTAGAGTTTTTTTTTTTTTTTTTTTTTTTTTTTTTGGCTTTTTCATTTTTATCGGTACCAGGGATCGAACTCACCACTGCCTGCTTTTAAGGCAGGTGCTTATGCCGCTGAGCTAAATCCCCAGCCCCAATGTAGAGGTTTTTATATCATTTTACACTGATTCCCAGTATTTCATTTTTTGTGGTGCTATTGTGGAAAGTGTTGTTTCTCTGATTTCTCTCTCAGTGAGTTTGTTATTTGTGTACAGAAAGGCTACTGATTTTTTAAAATTTTATTTTATTTTAAGGTGAATAAAATCAACCAAACAGAACAGAATAAAGCTAATCAGAGCAGAATAACGAAAGCAATACAAGATTTCCAAACAAGATAATAGAAAATCAACAATGGCTACCATAACATCTCTTGTTTTCCTCAAAGTATCTGCCCATATGATCAGACAGTAAAATCGAACAGAGCAAGCCAGAATAAAACCAAACCTAAGAAAACAATACAGGAATTCAAAACAAGATAGCAGAAAATTAACAATGGCTACCACCTTCCCTTTTTAGACATTTCTTCCCCTATCAATTTCATATTATCTATTATACATTTTGGATCCCACTAACTCCTTCAGTTGTTTACACTAAGAGATAACATGATGTGCACTTGCAGGAATCTGAACCATTTCACCCATAAGCATGATTTCAAGTTGCCTCCATTTACCTACAAAGGCCTCGAGATTATCTCTCTTTATTACTGTGTTGCTTTCCGTTGTATAAAATCATTATATGTTTCTTATCCATTCTGTGGTTGATGGGAAAGCTACTGCTGATTTTTCTGGTTTCCTGTCGCAAGGAACATTGTTTTCTCTGCTTTGACTTTTGATGTATGAATTTCCTTTCGAGTTAAATGCGTTTCTTGTACATGGCATATTGATAGATCTCATTGCTTGATCCACTCTTCCTGTGTTTCTTTTTATTGGTGAATTGAGGCCATCTACATTAATGGTTGCAACTGGCATGAATTGGCTCATCTCTGCCGTCCTATCCACCTGCTGTTGGATCCCACTTCTCCCCTTGGTTCAATTGCCTGGCCTGTTTGGCAATCCAGCTCTGGTCCTATTGATTTTTGAGTGTTGACTTTGTATCCAGCTATGCTACTGAATTTGCTAGTTTTTTTTTTAGTGGAGTTTTTGGAGTGTTCTAAAGTAGAGTATCATGTCATCTGCAAACAACAATAGTTTAACTTCTTCCTTTCCTATCTTTATTCCTTTTATTTCTTTCTCTAGTCTAATTGCCCTGGCTAAAGTTTCCAGGACTATGTTGAATAAAAGTGGAGACAGTGGACATCCTTGTCTTGCTCCTGATCTTAGAATGAAAGCTTTCTTTTTTGGTCCATTTTGTGTGATGGTGGTTGTTAGTTTGTCATAGTTAGATAGCTTTTATCAGATTGAGATAAAGACCATCTGTTCCAATGTTTTGTAGGTTTTTATCATGAATGGATGCTATACTTTGTCAAAAGATTTTTCTGCATCTATTTAGATGATCATATGATTTCTGCTCTTGGCTCTGTTAGAATGGTGTATGACGTTTATTGATTTACGTGTGTTGAACCATCCCTGCAACCATGAATGAATCCCACGTGGTCATGGTGTATACTCTTCTTGATGATTTGCTGCATTCTGTTTGCTAGGATCCTTATCGAGGATTTTTGCATCTATGTTCATTAGGGAGATTGGCCTGAGTTCTTTTTCTTAGTTGGGCCCTTCTCTGGTTTTGGCATCAGGGTAATGCTTACTTCCAGGAATGAATTTGGGAGCATTTCTTCCTTTTTAACCTCATTAAAGGAGTCTGAGAGTTAGTGGTGTTAGGTCTTCTCTAAATTTCTTGTAGAATTCAGCAGTAAATGTATTAGAACCTTGGCATTTATTTGTTGGTAATTTTTCAATTACATCTTCGTTTTCACTGATTGATATTGGTTCATTTAGGATGTTTATATTTTCTTGATCCAGCTTTGCTAATTCCTATGTATCTAAGACTTTTTCCATTTCTTCTGTATTTTCCATCTTGTCAGAATACAAGTTTTCAACGTAGGTATAGATAATCTTCTGGATTTCTGCAGGGTCTGTTCTGATTTTACCCTTTTGATTCCTAATTGCATGGATTTGAGTCTTTTGTTTGCTATGTTTGGCTAAGGGCTTGTTGATTTTATTTAATCTTTAAAAGAACCAACTCTCTGATTCTTTGTTTTGTTTTTTTAGTCTCCAATGCATTAATTTTTGCTCTGATCTTTATAATTTTCTCCCTCATATAGGCTTTTGCCTTAGCCTGGTCTTCTCTTTCTAGAAGTTTGAGGTTCCCCATTAAGTTGATGTGCTTACTGGGTTTTTCTTATGGGTATTTACTGCTATAAATTTCCCTCTTAGAACTGCTTTCATTGCATCCCATGAATTACACTATGTTGTGTTGTCATTATCATTCAAATGTAAAAACTGTCTAATTTCTTCTTAAATTTCATCTGTGATCCATTGGTTGTTTAAGATGGTGCTATTTAATTTCCAGGTGTTTAAGAAGGTCTTATGATTCCTTTTGCTACGGATTTTCAATTTCAATGCATTGTGCATGGATAATGTATAGGATAATTTCAGTTCCTTTGCATTTACTTAAGAATGTTCTATGGGCCAGTATGTCATCTAATTTGGAGAACATACTGTGTGCAGCTGAGAGGGATGTGTATTCTGATGTTGTGGGTTAGAACACTCTGTAGATATCTACTAAGTCCATTCGTTCAGAACTTTGGTTCAATTCTAATATTTAATTATTGATTTTTTGTCTAATTTATCTGTCTTTTTGTGACAGTTGGGTATTGAGATCTCCAAATACAATTGTATTAGGACTTACTTGTCTTTTCATGGCCATTAGTCTTTGTTTTACATAGTTGGGTGCACTGATATTTGTTGCATATATGTAATTATGATTAGTATCTCTTTCTATTGGATTTTTCCCTTTATGAGGACATAGTGACCTTCTTTAGCTCTCTTAATCAAGTCTTGGCTTGAAATTCACTTTGTCTAAAACAGAATACCTACCCGTCCTTTTTTATGAGTTCATGTCATTTGGAATATTGTTTTCCATCCTTTGACTTTCAGTCTGTGAACTTCTTTTTGAATTAAATGTGTTTCTTATATGCAGCATATTTTTGGACCTTGCTTCTTGATCCATTCTGCCAGTCTATATCTTTTGGTTGGTGAATTAAGACCATTAACATTGATGGTTACAACTGATATTATTGAGTTATCCTTGTCATGTTATTTTCCTGTTGTTAGTCCTTCCCCAACCCCTCTGTTTAACTGCCTTGCTCATGGATTCCTTCTATTGGGGTTCATGGAGTTGAAGTCCTTATCTTTTTCTGTAACGTCCTTCAAACTATTTCAGATTACTGGTTTTGTGGTCATAAATTTCCTCTGATGTTCTTTGTCTTGGAAGTATCTTATTTATCCATCATTTTTTTTGAATGTAGTAAAATGCAACAGAACAAGACAGAACAAAGCCAATTGAGACAATGCAGTGAAATTGGTATGAAACATCACAGCAGGTTACCAGTGTAACAGTAATAGGTTAGCATAGTATATCTTGTTATCTTTGCAATAGTTGTCCCTTTAATTAGGTATAGCAAAATCAAACCAAATACAGAACATTACAGAACTTATCAAAACTGAATATTGAATAGAGCAATATAGTTAATCAGAACAAAGCAAAACAGTGATAAAAATATTTGTCTTCAAAGAGATAGTATTAAGAAATCCCCCATATTTGCTGTATCCTCCCAAGAGATGCTTGACTTCTGCTCTCATTTCCTAATGGGGGTTGGGGGAGGAGGAAGGATGGGATGTTTGATTCTCAGCCCATGCACTGGTAGGCTCATGATTGCTTACCAGGGAGGCTAGCCGGTTGCTTTGTTTCCCAGGGCTCTCAGTTCCAACATGGCGGAATCTCAGGAGATGCTGGCTGGTTCTCTCCCTGGGGCGCCCGCCACTCAAACCATGCTGGTTATCAAGGAGGTGAGTGGGTTCCTCCATCAGTTTTTAAAGATAGTTTTGTGAGATACATCAGTCTATGTTGAAGGTTGTTTTCCTTTAGAACTTGAATTACTTTACTTTAAGCTCTTTTTTACTTGAGGGCTCTTACTTCTTTAGTTAGTTGGAGATGGAAAATTGTTTTTTTGGCCCAGTCCGTGGTTTTTGGCACCATTCCACAGTATTTTCTCTGACTTTTAGTCAGTCTCACTCATTGAATACCAGGACCAACAGCTGTTTAGAAAAATTATTTCAATTTTGGCTATATTGGTACAATAGCATCAAATGTAACTCAGAAAATGACAAAGTGAGCTAACCCTTAATTTGCCACTTTTAACCATATAAACGAGATTTTTTGTTATATAACAAAATCTAATGCAAACCAGAGAATTATATACAATATATAATGATATGTCAGTTAATATGTTAATTTTGCCCTCGAGAGTCAAAATTTAATACAGTTTAAGGAGAAAATAGAAAACTGGCAGAAAAGGAAAAGATGTATATTTTCTGATCTTCATCCCTTTTAATTTTAATTTAATTTAATTTTGATACAGAGTCACACTATGCAGTCCAGGATGGGTTTGAACTCACTGTGTAGCCTAAGTTGGCCTCAAACTCAACAATCCTCCTACCTTATCCCCTTTTTCTTGTAAAACTACCAAGATTCAATCCCGAGGGCCCCACACTAATCTGATCCAATCTAATCACTTTTAAAACAAAACTCTACACACCATAGATGGATTAAGTTTGCCTAAATCATCTTCTCATGAGTTTGGAGGGAAATCATATGCAAACCATAGCATATGTTACAGAAGAAGGCAAATTCTTCTGTCCAGTGGTGAAAGTGTTTTGTGTGTTTAGGGTAATAATTTCAACTATGAATTGACGCTGAGAGGAAGTAGTGTTCAAAATGATGGTTTACTAATATCTTTGAAAGAAAAGTTTTACTTTCATGATAAATTGCTTATTTTGTGATAGCTTATTTCTAAAATTTAGCCACATATATTAATATTTTAAATTCTTAAAAGTTTTAACAAAACTGAAACAGAAATAAAAAGTTAGTGTAAAATCATATGAAAATAATAATCCAGAAAATAATCCAGAAAATAAAGCTCCAAAACTCAGGTTGACTTTTTTGTTGTTTGTTTTTTGAGACAGAATCTGTGTGTAGCTCAGGCTGGTCATGATCTCACTACCCCAGGCTGGCTTTGAACTGTGGTGATCCTCCTGCCTCAGCTTCCCAGTGCTGGGACTATAGATATGTACCACCATGCCTGGCTCGAATTGGCTTTTCTGAAGAGAGGAATGAAAACTGGAAGGTTTGGTATTTGTCTTATTTTTTTTTTTAGTTCCTTTCAAAAGTACTTTTAATAGATATGTGGGATTGTATACATGTTATTTTTTATTTTTTGGGATAGGATCTCATTATGTAGTTTTTCTGAACCCATTATGCAACCCAAGCTGGCCTTGAATTCATGGCAATCCTTCTGCATCAGTCTCCTGAGTGCTGGGATCACAGGTATGTGTCACCATGCCTGGCTCTATTTTTGGTTTTTTGAGACAGGGTTTCACTTTGCAGGCAGGGTGGCCTTGAGCTTACTATGCAGCTCATGTTGGCCTCAGACCCTAGGGAATCTTCCTGCCTCAGCTTCCTGAGTGCTGGGATAACAGACATGCACCACCACAGCTAGCAGTATACTAGTTTTGTGACTTGCATTCGATTACAAATTTAAATGTAAATATATGTATGACTATGTTTCTACTGCTTGATATGAGATGCTTTCTAAATCTTATTTTAATTATTCACATTAGAATTATTGGTAATATGCCACTAACATGGTGTCTTTGACAGAAAAGATGAGAAAAGCACTGCACAACAGGATTTCCAGTTGATTATTAAATTGCCCAACGGTGACATTGAAAGATGCCTGTGTTATTAGTGTAAGTATTAAGAGTTTACTAAAGAGGTACAAGAACATTGCCACATGTATAATTCACTTTTTATTGTAGTCATTTAGCAAACTTAATGGTACACTTACCATCTGCTAGGTTTGTGCTAGGTATTGAGGACACAAATTATACATTGTCTCTGTTCTCTCCAAGTTGACAGCCCTGAATGGTATATAGTAAGAGACTAAAGGGCCAGAGGGATGCAGTGGAGGGGGTGAAAAACTATTTGTCAGGCAGATGGGCAGGCAGAAATTTCTAGTGGCAAAATTACTCTGCTCTAGTAAACAAAGTGTGGAGCAGCGTCCTGTGCTTGGGGGCACCGGTGGCATCGGGTGTGCAGTTGTGAGGAGGCTGAAAAGCAAGTAGGAAGGAGCCAGGTGCCAAAGGAAATGGCACTGAAGCCCTGTTAGGTGTCAGCTGCATAGCCACTGTGTCACTGGTACCTTACAGCTGCAGAAGCTGAATTTCAGAGAGGGCTAGTGACTTGACAAGGGTCAGACAGCCAGAAAATGGCAGAGGTCAAACTTGAACTTATCTTTTTAGCTTGAAAATTCCAATTGGGGCTGGGGATTTAGCTCAGCGGCATAAGCTCCTGCCTTGCAAGCAAGCAGTCGTGAGTTCAATCCCTGGTAAAAAAAGGAAAAAGACAAAAAAAAAAAAAAAAAAAAAAGAAAAAAAAAAAGAAAAAGAAAATTCCAATCACAGGAAGTGTGAAATCCACCGCGTGGTTCTCCGCCTGTCCTTTGCTGGGCTGTAGGCGAACAGAGGCTAATTTACCATGGAGGCTGAATGGTGTGTGGACTTCCCCTCCCTTCTCTCCCTCCCTCCCTGCCTTTTTCCTTCCTTCCTTTCTTTGTTTTTGGGGACTGAAGCCAGAGCCTCGTATATGCTACACACATATAAGCACTACCACTGAGTTACACCCTCAGTCCCACCCAGCTGGGTGACTTGTGCTGTATCCAAAGCATAGATGTATTATCCATTTTTAAAACATCCATTATTTAATTTAGATTTACTTGGAAAGGAAATCAAAGTATCTCAAAACTACAGGTTTAATATAACTTGCTTATGTTTTTACTCTAACTTCAAGTATGTATAAAAGTGAAGTACAAATTATTCCTTCATCTACTACCTAGAAATCATCTGTATACCTGCTTCACACTGGGAAGCAGAGAGATAGGAATCATGGGAGAGGAAACAACACAAAACCATGTAATTGACAGTGCTTTCAAAGGAGATACAGCCAGTCATGTTGGCGCACACCTGTCATTCCAGAAGTCAGGAGACTGAGGCAGGAGGATCACCACCAGTTTGAGACCAGCCTGGGCTACATAGTGAGTTCAAAGCCTGAACTGTACAGCAAGACTCTGTCTAAAAAAACAAGTCCAAGGTTGGCAGAAGAGAGGAGTTAATAAACAGGAGAGTTTTTCACTGCCATAGTCTATATTTGAGACAGTGTACAAAAGTGGGTTCTTGGAGATTATTTAAAGGCTATGTCTTTCAGGGTCAGATCTGGGAAGAACAAGCAGATCAGAAGGGCCCCAGTTGGCAAGAGTAGCAATAATTATATCAATATTTACAAATGTGGCAATTTAAATTTACCACGGTTAACCAGAAGGCTAAATACAGTCTGAAACTGCCTGTTGTTAATCCGTTTACTTATTTATTTATTTAGTCACTCTGATATGGTTTTTGCTATCTAGTTCAGGCTGGCGTTGAACTCAGCATGCGATCCAGGCTGGCCTCAAACTCATGGCTATCCCCGGACTCAGCCATCTGAGTGCTGGGACGACAGGGATGTGCCACCACACCCAGCTTGTTATTTCTTTTACAGATAGAAATATTAATTCTTATACATTTTCTTTATTTTTATTTAAGTATATTTAAAATTTATTTGTTGTGGTTCTGGGAACTGAACCCAGGGCCTTCCTTCTGAGCTACATCCTCAGTCACTTAAAATATTTTATGTTTTGATTTTGAGTCAGGGTCTGGCTAAAATGCTAAATTGCCCATGATGGGCTTGAATTTGTACCCCTCCTGCCTCAGTTTCCTGGAATTCTGGGATTACAGAATATTCGATCACAGCCAAGCTAAACACAGTTTTTAGATTCTGGCCCCACCCCCATGCACATAGGTTCTTTTTCATTGCAAAATTAAACTTCAGGCAAGATTCAGAAAAAAATGCGTATACTGTCATAGGTGATTTTGATGGAACAATTAGAAAAGCCTTTCTCAAAGTGTGTTCTGCGGGGGAGGGGGGTGTCTCTGAACTTTGCAAGGAGGCTTCAAGGCCAAGCCTATTTTTATAATAGTACTAAACTGTCATTGCCTTCTTTACTCTTATTTTTTCATGTGTGTGCAGTGGAATTTTCCAGAGGTTGCCCGAAGCGTTGGTGATGTCAACACACTGAGGGCTAATGGAATGTGTGCTTGTGTATGCTTATGTTTCTAAAATATCTCATTTAAAGTTTGAATGCAGCAAATAAAGCAGAAATAACCCACATAAAGAAAAGCTCTTTAGGGTTTTTCTTTTTAATTTTTATTCATTTTTTTAAGATAGGGTCTTACTATGTAGTGCAGGCTGGCCTTGAATTCACTTATGTAGCTCAGGCTGGCCTTGAACTCACAGTGATCCTCCTGCCTCAGCCTCCCAAGTGCTGGGATTACAGGCATGCACCACCACACCTGACTAGAGTCTTTAATAAGGGTTTAGTAAGGGTTGTAGGGACAAAAATGTTACTGAGCTACGGAGTTAGATGCTTAACGTCAAACAGGAGCATATGTTTGTCTAACTAGAAAAAAAGTGTTTTCTGTTTTTAAATCCATTAAGTACATTCACACTGTTGTGAAACCATCATCACCATGACTTGATTTGAATTGAAACTTCTGTTACTTCTAATCAAAGGCAATCACAATTCACAAATAAAAGCTTTTCTTGGTGTTGTAACAGAAACTGCCCCCCAGCCAGTATACTTCAGTTTCTTGGTTTCCTAGGTAATAGTTCCTGTTCTACTTTTGGTTGCTTCTGTCTCCTACAAACGGCTGGTCACTTCAATGCATAGCTGGTCACTAGAATACGCTTTGTAAGAACCAGTCTCCAATTGACTAGCCGTCTGCCTCTGTACTTTGTGCCTGCTTATCTCATACAAGTCCTAGACCACCAGAGATCAGGGCCTTATATTCTGGGAATGATCCCAATCAGTGCCCATTGACATAAATAAATCTGCCCCCAAATCATGGATGTTGTTTGGTGTTTCTGTTTGCTGCTGTGTTGTAATAAATTAAATTTCAAGTTTTGGTAACTTGTTTGAAGAACTACTAGAAAAAGAATGATAGATGAGAGAAAAGGGCTGGAATAGATAGAGTAGTCTAAAGCAGTAATGGCAAACTTTTTTATTTTTATTTTGTTTCTTTTTCTCGGTACTTGGGATTGAACTCACGACCGCCTGCTTGCAAGGCAGGTGCTTATGCCACTGAGCCCCTAGTAATGGCAAACTTTTTAGAGACCAAGTACCCAAACTGCAACCCCAAACACTTATTGCAAAGCGTCAACACTACAGTTAAACATAAACCCTGAGGTTTTAGTTTGGAGAAGACAACTGCTGTCTGATGATGGTTGGTCGCTGTGAGACTTGGCATGTGTCCTGTTAGAGAGGGCTCTGTGTCCCCCCCTGTGGCACGGGTGCCATAGATTCGCCACCACTGGCCTAGAAAGAGGCTAAACTATTCATAGGAACTTAGGTTTATCAAAAAGGTGACCTTCAAATCAGCAAAGATTGCTCAGTAAATGCTCCTGGTAGGAACAACTGAAAATAAAAATGAGCTTACTATCAAAGTCCTTGTACTCAAATGAACTTTAAGTGAATTAAAGTTTTAAACATTAAAAGCATAGAAGAAAACATAAAATGAGTAAGTCAGATCTAGACTCCTGAAACTAATGGAAATGACTGCTGAGTCTATGTAAAATAAAGGCAAAATTAGAAAGTTTCTATACAGCAAATAAAATAAAGAGCAAAGTCCAAATACAATTGATAATGCCAGACATGGTGATGTGTGCCTATAATTCCAGCACTGGGGAGGCTGAGGCAGGAGGATCGCCACGAGTCTGAGGCCATTCTGAACTGTAAGACCTTGTCTCAAAACAACCAAAACCAAACTGAACTAAAACAGCACAACTGATCTGCCAATTAAAACTACAGGTGATATAGGTGATGAAGGGTTTTTCGTTTCTTTCACACACAGAGCCTCATGCATGTCAACCAGTAAAAGGCAGACAGCCCAAGTGAGAGATGGACAAAGCCCACAAAAGGTCTATTTTACAAAAAATAAAAGCAGTGACTGAGGCAGGAGAATCTCAAATTTGAGGGCAGCCTGGGCAACTTAGTGAGAGCCTTCACCTCAAAATAAAATATTAAAAAGGGCTGAGGATGTAACTCAGTGTGAGCATCCTGGGTTCAATGTGTAGTATTGTTAAACAAACAAGTAAACACCCTGAGAGGAAAACAACAAAACAAATAGCCAAGAATCATGATACTTATTACAATCACAATTAAATAGACACTAGTTAAGACAACATTGGGAAATGATATTGGCCATCTGTCAGATCTGGAAACTCACTTAAATTGTTACAGTCTTGCTGGATAATGTTTGGCTATAACCAGTAAGACAAAATACATATGTTATTTACAAGTACATAGTAATATGCAAAATTTATAAAGTGATACAGAATTACAAAACATGAATCTTTTTTTTTTTTTTTTTTTTTTTTTTTTTGTACTGGGGATCAAACTCACGACCACACACTTGCCAGGCAGGTGCTTATGCCTCAGAGCTAAATCCCTAGCCACATAAATCTTTTTTATTTTTGGTATTGGGGATTAAACCCAGGGTTTCAGGCATGGTAGGCAAGTGTTTTACCACTGAGCTATATCTGAAACCCTTTGATTTTATTTTATTTGTTTTTGTCTTTTTGAGACAGGATCTCACTATGC